GATTTCCCAGCAATGTTTAAACACAAGAAGCCACAAGTCCATTCTGAAAGAAATCTGATTCTGCCCATCTGAAAATGTACAAGACATTTCAATAAAAATCAACACAGTTTTACCTGAAAGATGTTTCACTTCTTTTTTTCCCTTTTAATGACAAAATATAGTTATTATTAAATCGTGTTGGGATTGTTTTTTTTTTTTTTTTACAAAGGCTTGTATGCAAAAGACAATTTAAAGTAGAAAGATGTATAGTACAAAGACTTAAGAGTGGGTTAGTAATTAAAAGGTACTTAAATATAACTTTTTCTAATGGCATCAGAGAGTGGCTTCATAGGAATGAGATCCAAGCTAGCTGGCAGTAATCCAGTGTTTCAAAATTCAATTTCAATGAGAGGTACAACTAATGTTAAAATATCCTGTGACCCGTCACACGTATTTTAATATAAGATGGGTTTTCAGAAACGAAATAACTAATATGAGCAGATGCCTACTACTGTCTGCAAACAATGAACACAAGGTAGAACATGATACTAGTGTCCTGGTTACTGAGTGGGTCCAGAAAGGGATCATATTTTATATGTGATATTCTAAACTAAAAAAAAAAAAAAATACTGAATTTCCCAAAGGAACCCACCCGAGGGATTAATAAAGTTTTGTCTAATCTATTTTGTTTGACTAACATTCAGATGGTGCATTTCTGCTCACTTGATGACAGGGCAGATAAATGCCAACACCTGGGGTGATGACCCTCAGGAGGTAGAGCAGGTCATCCACTAACTGGAAGGTTGATGGTTTGATCCCTTGCTGCTCCAGTCTGTATGTCTCTTTGAGCAAGATACTTGCTTACCAAGTTGCTTACCAGTTTAAATGTTACAAAGGTGTAGAAAAAAATTGCCTGGGTGAATGAGGTACGTTGTGTAAAGCACTTTGAGTACTCCAGTATAGCAGAAAAGTGATATATAACAAGCAGTCTGCGCTCATCTTCCAATTCTTTCATTTTTCAGCTTCACCTCATTAACATTTTATACAGTGTTGCAACAGCTTCATGCACAGAAACGGACAGACACACAAACACCTGCTGAAGTCCTCAAAACTGCTTTTGTGGTTAAAGTAAGTGTGTCTAGCAGCACATTTTGCCACGATCATACACACAAAGAGACAGACAAGCTCACAGGGTGTAAACAATACCAGCCTCGGTGATGCAGCTGGTAATAACAGAGCTTAGAGGGACTGGTGTATGCAAAAATACCCACAACTGTAAAACAGGTATGGGTACTTATGGGCACACACACAAAAAACCCAATAAAAATGTGCAAGATATAATCATGAAACTTTATAACAGAGTAGTTGAGATCAAAATGATGGTTGAGTCTGACCCACAAACACGGGGCATCATTTATTCTTTTTAATCTGCAGCATGCATCCTGTGACTCACTGTGAGAGGCAGCTTGATCTGATGTTTGAGTATGTTTTAACATGTGTGGCGTGAGAACTTGTATTCATCACACCTTCAGTTTCAGTTCTTGGAAACAAAAATGCAAACACTCATATATGTTCCACCAACATCTAAATGCAAAAAAAAAAAAAAATCAGGCTACCTGTTCGGATATAACATCCCTTGTTTAACAAAGATTCATGTGGTCCCTGGAGTCTCTCATATGCCTGGAAGCTTTCCCTGCACCAGATAAGGAAACAGCTGCATACATAATATGCCTCCGGCCTCCATGTAGCTTGTCCCTGTGGCTTGGGGAAGAAAACCGGTGAGACTCAATTAAATCAGTGACAGATGCCGTTCTGAATTCCAAAATATCACTTTGGTTCTTATTATACTGCTCTCACTATGACAATTCAGCATTCACATGTTCCTACCCTTTATGATGTCTCAAATTTATCCCAGTGACTTTGCTGACGAGGCATTGCCACAGGCTGAGAAGATGTAATCCACAGAGAAGCCAGAAAAGAATAGACTTGGATGTAACCCCTCTGTAATCACCAACGCTTCCACTAGTTATTGCAACATTATTTTTTATTTTTTATTTTACGTATTTGAAATAACATGCATTTTTAATCTAACTGTATAACTCTGATGTACATAACAAGTTACTTTACATAACTAACTATAAGTTTTTATGCTGTCAGCTGTATTTGAAACACTCATTTGGTAAGTGAGACTTGGGGGAAGAGCCCTGAAAAAATTCCTACAACTTGAACTTGGTGCTTCTGTGAATTGCTGCAGCTGTCTGTGGGTGCCCATGCTCTAATGCAGTCTACACATAGATAGTATAAAACATTCAATTCAGTTTTATTTATATAGTGTCGAATCACAACAACATTCGTCTCAAGGTGTTTTATACTGTACGGTAAAGACCCTACAGTAACAATCAGATGCTCCCTGTGAGTATAAGGACTTGGCAACAGCGGAAAGGAAAAACTCCCTTTTAACAAGAAGAAACCTCAGGCACAACCAGGATTAGGGAGGGACAGCCTCTTGTTGCAGCTGGTTGGCAGTGAGAGGAGGAAGATGGAAGAGAGCCAGAGATGAAAATCGCTGTTCCTATGTCAATAGCAGCAGCGATGTCATCTATTGGTTTGTGGCGTCTGATTATGAAACCTCAGGGAGGACACTGGATGCTTACAGGATAAATGGGAACACCTGCCTTCAGCACAGTCTGAAACTACCACTTGAGCCTACAAACTCCAGCGGAGTCGCCCCCTGCTGCCCGTTAAACATAATGCAGGTTATGTTATACTTCTGAACTGGCTCTACTTTTTCAGACACACAAGCAACGTGCATCTTACGTTGTCTACTGGTGTGCAGTAGTGTTTAGATTTGTGTCAGATGACCAACAACCACTTCCCTACTCAGTGGTTTTACTGTTGTGGCTGTCCGGTTCGTGCCCAATCTGTGCGCTGTCTCTTTAAGAAGGAGGGCGTGACTTGGAATGATTGACTTAACCAATGACTGTTGAAAACAAAGAGATCACGTTTCTTCTTCTGCATTGAAAAAATTAATCTGGAAAGAAAAAAAAGGAAAGAAGTAGGGAACACCTCTCGTCACTTTACCAAGAAACTTAAAATGGCGCAGCAGTTTGTCCAGGCGAAAATTAAGGGCGACAAAGTGGTGGTGTTTCTGAAACCCACCTGTCCTTACTGTACAATGGCTCAAGAGGTTTTGGAGAAATACAAGTTCAAGCCGGGACATTATGAGTGCGTTGATATAAGTAACCACAGCGAAATGGACAGTATGCAGGACTACTTCCTGGAACTTACTGGAGCCCGTACGGTAAGCATACAGCCTCTCCGTCTCAAGCAGGGCAAGAGCTTTACTTTAATACACACACCCATAAATTCAGTGTTAATATCGTTGTATCTTCAGGGCACTGACACAAAATTTAAAGAAGACTTTTACGTATTTGTGGGAAATGAAATGTAAGCATCGTGGCCTTAAAGCATCCGATATTAAATGGAAAATAAAGCAGATACAGATTTTCCATATAGGATTAAGGTAGATAAAATGTCCAGTGAGTGCAGGAAATGTTCCTCAAAGATTCTGGTCCATTTTGAAATGATGACATTACACAGTAGCTGCTGAGTCATGTTTGAATCCTCACTTCCTCCACAAAAAACGAGTTTGAAATGATTTCTTCTTCATGACATGGCACATTTTTTCTGCTGGAAGCAGCCAACAGATGATGGTACTTTGTGGTCATTTTGAGACTCTTTAGACCAGGCAACGTTTTTCCAAACATCTGTTTTGGGCTGTCAGGCTTGTAGCCTCATTTTCCTGTCAGGAGTGACCAAGTGTGCTCTTCTGCTGCTGCAGCCTGCCTGCTTTCAAGGTTCAACATGTTGTGCGTTAAGAGATGCTCTTCTGGATAAGTTACTGTTGCCTTCCTACTAGTCACTGGATATTTTCTATAAATTTTTTATAAACCCTACAGATGGTTGTTCAGGAAAATCCCAGTAGATCAGACCCCAAGTAAGAATGCCCATTTGATAATCTGGAAATCACCATTATTACATGAATCACAATTTCAAGAAGGAACTTTACGTCCTGATTACGACATTCTTCAAATCCAACACACGCCAGCTACTTTTAGTTTTTTGTCCTTAAAGTATTATTTTGAATCTGTTCTGCTTTTTTATTATCTGTGTTTGTTTATGCAAAAAGCAAATGTACTGTGGTAGAAGTAACTACTCGAGAAGTGTTCTAGCATATGATTGGTGGCAGTAACACGAGGGAGTATGTAATGAGACAAACAGGAGAAAGAAGTCTGTGGTTGGGTCCCTTCGGGGAAGTTCTGACTGTCACAAGCTTCATAGTCACCCGACTTCACCCCCATCTCTCACTTACACTGAGAAAATCAAGCGTTTGTAACATGAGAGAAGCTCCCTGTGCTGATTTTGATTGTGACGAGATAAAATGCGTTATCAGATTTTGCTGCTCATGCATGCTGCCTTTGATGCTGAAGCCGTGGCAGACCAACAGTACCACAGATATTCCGATATTCATGCACGTTTCACAGATCACTGACCCTGTGCATGAAGCTGAAAGGGAATTTCTTCCTTTTTTCTTGTATTGGTTCAGGTCCCACGAGTGTTCATCGGTGAGGAGTGCATCGGTGGTGGCAGTGACGTGGCGGCCCTCCAGAAGAGTGGCAAACTGGAGGGCAAGTTGAAATCCATTGGGGCCCTGCAGTAATTCACCTGAAGATCTCCAGGTATGGCATGGACTCTGAGAATGTAGCTTTCCTTGACCTACAACACACACCCTGTTACTAATACTCGAAATAATAACAACCGCTTAGAAAGTGTAAGTTAAGAATACTAAAGGAAAATATTATTTGACAACAAAAAAAGTGGTGATGTTTACAAATCACATTTCGTGTTATTAAAAAAATAATAAAGTTATATAGTTTGTTTTACATATTTTTATAAAAGCTGTTACTGGATCTGCTGGAAACTGATGCCAGGAAGCTCCTAGCACACAGTTTCTGTGCTGATATTAATAACATTTGGTGTTTGGCGCTCTGCGGGTAATGAGTGGGATTATTGGTGGAATATTTAGGATTCAAGAAATTTCACAAACTGACTTGTTACAGCAGTGGCCTCCTGTTACCACACTTGAATTCAGAGAGCTCTTTAGAGTAATCTATTCTTTCACAAATATAAAGGCAGACAGTACAGCTGGGTGATTTTCTTTTTTTTGTATATACCCATGACCCATCAGGGTTTAGCTTGTCACTAGGTTTGGAAATTGGTATTAATAGGTACTAGCAAACCTGCGCACGTCTTCGTTTGGCACTCAGTTGAACTCTCAAAATGTACAAATATATACGATTGGGGGATTTGTATAAATATTTGTATACACCATACAGCTGTTTGCAATCACATCACTCTAATATTTATGCAACATTTCATTAAGATCGTTCCACTTATTCAGGAGGAAACATACGCTATAATCATTACAGTATGATTATTAAGAAATTATTAGTGTAAAATGCATAATTCCAGGGAAAGAAAAAAACAACAACAACATATAAGCAGTAACTTGCTAGTGAAGACAGTGATGGAGGCAGTGGTATGTTAAAACATGTCTTTATTTAAAGTCAGACGCCATGTATTCTACAGTCTGTACAGCACATGCCCAGAGGAGCCATGTGTCTCCACACTAGGTGTGGATGCAGCACTGGGATACACTTTGTTTCACAGTCCACAGTTTCACTTGCTGTTTGCTGATTTGTATTAGTAGGGATGCACCACCAGGATTGTAACGTTCTGGGTCTTTGCCAATGTTTAAAATAACAATTTGGCTGATTTCTGATCGTAGTTAGTTTGATTTATTATTGTGATAGGACAAAAATAAATAAATAAGTTAACTGTTTCAGCGTCTTTCAGCCTTTCATCACACTATCTCGCAGTGAGCACAAATTCAGTCATACATATTTATGACAGTGGATCCCAGAGATGATAACGGCAAACTCTTGCGAGCGAAGACATTCGCCAATGTTATTGGTGAATGTCATCTTTTTTGGCAATAGGCCAATGTATATCTACAAGGCGACTATCAATCAATAAATCGCTGCATTCCTGGTTATTAGTAGATCAAGATGTATTCGAGGATATTTACACACAGAATTTAGTGGAATTTGTGCAGCAGCTGGTTAAAGATAACAACTGCACACTGTCAAAACTTGACAGTGGGAGCTTGCTTGTACTATATACACAGAATTTCTGTTAATACTGCAGAAATAGAATATGAAAGCATTACACGCCGCTTCCTGATTGATTGTGATCCACAGATTTAAAAAAAAAACCCATCTGCTAGCTGTCACTACTGATCGCTTTCACCCTCGCGTAGGTGAAGGTTTATTTAACAAATTGAGCTGTAATGTTCCATTTCCCCTTTTTTAAAATCGAGTAAACAGCCGTGAAACATTAGACTGGAAAGTAGTGCCACCCTGTTTGTCTCGACTCCAAATGTTAAAAAAAACAAAAATCATGTCCACATACGGTATAGTTTACAAAAATAATTGAGCACCAATAAATCATAATCTCTTTATGATTAAAAAACATTTTAAATTAAAAAAAATAGATAAAAGAAATATTTCGTATTCACCCAGAGGCTTTGAGATTTTTACTAGACTAACTCATGTTCATAATATGGTGCTCTTTTTTTTTTTTTCTTCTTCTTCTTCTTTTTTCAGCATCTTCATACCATACCACCACTATAACTGCAGCAAAAGACTTTTGCCTTTTTGTGACAGCAACAGGTCGTTATTTATTATTGCAAACAGAAAAGCATGTTTTCTCATTAACCCGCAAAGGAAAGCGTGTAAAAGTCCGCCTCAGTAGATTTTAAAAAGGTGTTTTGAAAGAAAAATGTTATTACTGTTGCTGATTTGGTTTACAGATATTAATTACAGGCTAGATGCTGTTTGATTAGAGGCTTAAATGTGAAGCCTTTTCTCCATGATAGTGTAACTGCTTCATTTGACACCTATGTACTCTACTGTGTGGTTATAAAAATCAGTCTGGCTGCAAGACAGTTTATGAGGTTGTGTCATCGATGTGGAAGGATTGACTAAAGTGTTGTAATGAAACCTGTCCTGCTCATTTGCTTACACATGAAAATACATATGACGCTGCTAACAGCAGCAATTGTGGATGACTTGCATCGTGACCATTTGTTTACCCTAGAGTCAATAATTTATTATTTCAGTGCTGTTTAACTGACTCACTCAAAAAACAACCTCACCCAGTTTCTTAAACCTGGGGAGAGGTGAAGCAGAGCCAAAGAAAGAATGATGTTTGGTGCAGATTTGGATTGTTTAAGATTAGGGCACTGGGAGGAATCTTTCATCTGTATTGTCAGGAAATTTTAGGATGTAATTTAGCACAAAAGGTGACATGAAAACAGTAAAAATAACCCCAGAGACTTTTAAAAGGCTCTGGATTGAATGGAAAATAAATTAAATAAACACTGAGCTTTTGTTATAGAGATGTTGTACGCAAAGGTTAGCTTCCCTCCCTTCCCAGGTGTGTTTACTAAATTGCTGTGGCCAGTGAAAAGTGGAGTTATTGAGCAAATCTGCTGCAAGCTGACTTGGACACCTACAGTGAATGAACCAGAGTTTAATGACACACAAGGACTGAGTGAATGAGTGAAAAGGTAACTCTGATAGGCCATCTCTTGGTCATGTGACTGAACGGGAGACCCATACTTCAGTCACATGACTTATTGGTGATAGCTAGCTCACTGTTTAACATTATTTACACAAACTGAAGAGTAACGAGTTGAACAGAATAAAATGAACGTTGCTGCAAAAAATAAAATACAAAGTAATATTTCCCATGACTGTTTGTTAACTGTTAGATCTTAGAGGGCTTTTCATTGGGCCAATCAGAAACTGGGTTTTTCACCCAGGGGCATTAAAGAGACAGGAGCCATGAACAGAAAAAGGGGAGCGTTTCAGAAATGTGCTGCATGCTTTCATGTTGTGGAACAATAAAGTATGAAAACCTATTCTTGAGGAGCCTCAAAATAAAACTGCGAGCCTGTAAATGAGCTATATATGGGCACTTTGAGAAACTGTTTTCACAAGTTCACAATCTTTAGATCAGATGGGATGCATCATGAGTGATCAAGGGTTTCATCTATGACAGAGAGGTCCTGCGTCAATCCTACAGAAGACACATAGAAGCTATTGAGTGTTGAGGAGATCTTCCTGTTTAATCAACCTGAAGTCACATTACCCGTTAATGTAGTTTGAAATAGTTTGCACATGATCCTGGTTTCCTGACAGATGTGTGGTGATTTGATATATCAGTAATTATACTGAAGCCATTTTGTGTCACTGGTCAGTATTGAAATCCACAGCTTTGCACTCCATTAGAAATGCGATCTTTCACAGAGATTCGGCCAGTGGCCAGTCATATTAAAGTCTTATTGGGTTTTATGGATCAGTTTTTTTATTATTGCCCTCGAAGGAATAGTCATATTAGGATGCGCCAGTCAGTCCACTGAGGGAGGAGAGGCGCATCGCAGCAGTTTAACAAGTCTTTCCTTTTCTTCCTCTGCATCGTTGTCTCTCGATCAGCCCTTCATGCAGCAGGATAAAAAGAAAAAAACATGTCTTCTGTCAGTTTTCCCACACGTCGATGTGCACTGGAATCCTTTCTTTTCTTTTGTCATCGTCTTCCTTTGCTCTTCCCCACAGATGGTTTTGGCGTCCAGGTTTGGTCACATGACAAGGCAGCGGGACTTGCGGAGTTTGCGGCGTCGCTGCTGGTACTCGCTGAGCTCTTGCAGGTAGCCTCTGGACGGCCATCGTAGCCTCTCCACCTGCTCGCGCTCCTCATCTGGACACATAAACACAATCGCATGTTATACTAATTTGTACTCTACTGGATGTTTTTGTTCTTAAAATGTTAGAGGAAGATTTATCATGCTTGACCAATACTCAGACACATATGGAATATGAACTTATTGGGCTTTTGTTTTTGTAATCTTGCTGTTGCCCTGTAATATCCGTCCAATGGCCTTTAAGGAGGCTGATATTCGTATGACCTATGATGACAATAAAAAAGTGGGATTGCTACACCATTTTGCTGTTGATGTTGTCTTTATCTACTTTGATGTGGTCAGTAATATGCACAAACATTAAGTATTAAATATAATATAAGGGTAAAGTTATAGTACTAAACCTAGTATGAGGAGTCACTATTTAAAGGTCTGACAGGTCACAATCTAATTTACAAACACGGTGCTTTATGATTCTGTATGGGAGGTTTCCACAGGTTTCCAGGACCATGCTTGATTCTCAAAAAAAAAGTAAGTTATTGATTTTAATTTTATTATCTAAAAACAAGTGGATGTTCAGTGTGGTTCAATTTCAATTCACACATAACTGATGAGCACTTTGATTATACCTTATGTAGTTTTAGATGGAGCCCTGACTCAAAAAACAACAACAAATGGGATTATTTTGCAGGGACTATGTTATCTGAGGAAATACTTATGTTTTTCTTTATTTCTTTTTCTGTCTTTCACTTTTTTTCTTTTCTGTTATATTTCACAGCCTTAAGTGGCTGTGGCCAATTATCCCGAATGTACAGATCATCTGTAATCCTTTTCTTCTCTTTTTGTTTATATGTATAAAGGAAAGCCATTGTTTAAAAACGATAGGTCTATATACATTACATGTATGCAAATGATGTGTATATGTATGTATTTCAGTGTGATTATTTATAGTAATGTAAATAACTTGCCTATAGTAAAGCAGTTTCTCTTTTTAATCAGTAGATTGTTGTTGAGTTAGGACACATTAATTGCACTGCAGGGCAGCATGTGACGATTACAAGCTACACTTTAGGTATTAGGAGTAGCACGTGGTCAAAGTAGCCATTCAATTCGCTTGAATCTCTCTATTTATAATTAAAACCTTCACTGTTTATTTCAAAACACTTAATCACCGGGTAGTTTCAACACTGTAAAGGCTGCTCCCTTATTCGCAGGTGATACCTGTAATAGTGTTTAGAACAGTTATCCCTTTAAAATTGCACACTGACCTGAGAGCTCCAGGAAGTCAGGTTTATGACTGAAGATTAGGTAGTTGTTGGCGATGAAGTGGAGGAGCCAGATATAGAGCTGCTCTGCATTGTGGCACTGGAAATCAATAGAGACACTATATGCAATGCAGGTCTAAATGAAATTGTATGAACATCTGCTAGAGATGGAGCCTAAGGCAGCTGCTGATTAACAGACTATGTTTCAACAAGAAAATATTGCACTGGATACTTTGATACTCACTCACCTTTGCCCTGCGGAGTAGTCGAACTACACTGATGCCTGTTGATGCCAGCTCTCTACTGGGCATGCTCTGAAGGTAAGCACATACGCAGACCTCACATAGATGCTGCAGTCGTTTCACTTGGTACATCTCGGCACAAACCAGCACAGCCATGGCCTGAAGCACACTGGCTGGACACACAAACACACAGCACTGTCTGATATGCTGCTTACTAGAGCAAAGAAAAAAAAATCAATACAGCATAGCATTGCAATATTTTGCATGGCAATAAAATATTGATATCCATTTTCTTCCACTTATCCAATTCAGGGTTGCAGGGGGCTGGAGCTTATCCCATTTGCCACAGGGTGAGAAATATCAATACATGGGCACCAAATATTGACATATTATATATTATATAAATTAAAATACTCTGAATAGTATGAACAAAAGGGCTCATCTTATGCACCACCATCCTGAGAAAACTTAGATCAGATTGGTTTAACTAAAAAAAACATCCAACAAGGGACACACTTAGCTTGACAAAGCTACCTCCTAATTAAGAGCAAGGTAATGGCTCAGTCAGTTAAAATTAGGACAGCGACGTCCTAGCATCGACAAAATTGATTGTATTGAATTCACATACCAGCTGTAACTTGCAGTGACTAAATTGTTGTCGAGAGCCTGAGGGTGTTGCACACTCACAACTACTTTTGATCACAAGGTGATTTCTTGACAGGAAACAAGCTTTCTGCAAACAGTCACAGTCCGACTTGGAGTGACTGCAGTCATTCTCAGAGAGACTGTGGAAAGCTTGCAGATATTTTCTGTATACCGATTACCAACATGTTGCCATCAGTCTGAATAAGTTGTCATCATTGAGCACAACCCAACTCTTGTCTTAGCTGGCTTCCAGCTAGTTGTATTCTGGTTATCTTCTTATAGAACAGGAAGTCTGACGAGTGCAAATTTAATAGTTTAATGTGAATATCTGTTTGTGTAGACAGCAAGAAATATGTGACATTTTTACAATTTATCACAGTTAACTGCTGTATTATTAGAAACAGATTGCATGTATCAATCACAGGCTGATACCAGATTGATTGCAGACTGACTCAGTCTCATAGCAACATTTATGGCAGGTTTTAGTGCCAGTGTTTGTTTGCTTGGCAATCTCATTTTGCAGAAAAAAACTGAAGTGAGATAACTTTTAACTTTGAGGACAGATTTTGTAGCTGGAAACGGGTGAGAAGTCACAATATGTTTTACTGCACTAATCAATAAATCCTAAAATGTTAGGTATCACACTGATATATTGTCAAAATATAGTATTGTGGGGTGTCTGGTGATTCCCACCACTACTAGTTATTGTATACATTAAATACTGTGAAAGCATTATACGGATATTAAACCAATGTAAATCCGACTTTGTTCTAGATGTATGCAATAGCTGGACATATTCTCCCTGAAGCTGAAATGTTTTCTTATCCTTCCTGTTCCAAAAATCATTCAGGTAAAGCACCACAGTGAGCTTAAATCAATCAAACACCGTCACAATAAAACCGATTCGGGTCTATTTTACACACAATTAGAATCTGAAGAGCAGATTTCTAACACATAAGTGCTATCAGTCCAAACCACTTCCAGCAGAATTTAAACTCAACATTATTTGACATGGTTTGGTTTGCATTTGCACAGCACAGACAGGAGTGATACGGTTGAATGCTCAGCTGCTCCCAAAACAGTAAAACTGCACACAGCACAAAAATGATCACTCAGCTCTGCTGTTTCTGTCATTTCTCTCAAAGCATTTTAGGATCTTTCATAAGACTGATTTCATTTTAAAGACCACACTTTTATTGTTTTAGTTCTACCGATGGATTTCATTCACATCCATGCAAATACTTGTTGCACTTATAGATGTGATTTTTTTAAATCAACTGTCATTCCAACTGTTTTTTTACCTTTAATTATGAACACGGTGTAGAAACAGAGTAGACAAAGGATTGCATGTGAAAACTCCTCTGACATGAGTTTGTTCTCATTGTTTTGCAATGTGCAAATGTTAGCCAAGCACTGGCAAAGTGATTAAAAAAGCTTAGACACATACAGTCGATGGATCGGACAATCTGAAACCTGTTCCCCTCCCTTTTTTGTTGAGCTCTTAGCACGTAAGCCACATTTCTGAGAAGTATGCGGCTGTCCTACCTGCCGAGCTGTACACAAGGTTGGCGACTAGCTGTATTAAAGAGTCAAATTACTTTAAGGGTCGGCCATAGGTGCACATGTAGAACCTCAAAATAATGAGAAAGTTGCTTTGTGACTGCTGCATGTATAAAGAGATGACTGCAAAAACCGGAGGGGGCTACAACAAAAAGAGTAATAAATAATCATAATGGGAAATTTTAAAGGCAAGATATCGACAAACAATTAAATGAAGCTCTTTAATCACAACCCAAGAATACAAACAAATGTGTATTAATTCAGAACTTGTTTAACATCCTTAAAACCCATTATATACTCGCTCCAGCTTGCCATTTTTGTATTGGTGCAACACAGACTGCACCACAGTGTACACATTTCATCATCAGATATTAACATCAAATCTCAGCCGGTTGTGAATTTAAATAAAGCTCCTAAGTCAAATCACTTAATGCTCAAATAAATAATTACCCATCGCTCTTTTTGTGCTGTCAAATTACATGCTTGCATGCAGCAAGCACGAAACAAGGGGTGTCGATCTTTTTCTGTCAAAATGTCAAATTAAATTACCCCTGATGCAAACAGATTCCTGCCGTTTATGTCAAACACCACCTTCAGCATCCTTCACTCACTCGTGAGCGCTGATCCTCCACGTGCGTCCCTGACAGGACGCAGCTGAGCAGCAGCAAAACAAGAGGGTTTGTTCTATGTCACTGCACAATCACCCAAATGAGCATTAACACAGCATCCCTCATATGTACAGTATACATTATTTAACAGAGGGAAATACTCTGATGGCACTTTAGCTTTGATTTCACACCCTTCTTCTTTCTTTCTTTTTTTTTTGTTGTTGCTGCTACTGGTGGAATTACCTTGATTTGACCTTGAGTGCCGAGCTCTTACATAACACTACAGCGATTGCAGCCTCTGAAGCCGTTTCATGTCTTTAATTTCCTGTTCCCATGACTCAACCTGGAGCTGTATCTCTGGAAAAAGCTTGCTTATCATACCCTGATCTAAGCTGGATCATAAGGACTGCTTGTTGAATTTTTTTCATCATTTCATTTATTTTTTTTTAACCAAAAGATCTCACGCCACAGAATAATGGGATTGTGAGCTGCAGAGAGCTTGTTATTCAAAGCTGATTATTCTGAAGTTTTGCATTGTCTATTCAGCAGCTTTGTTATATAATGCTACAAAGGAGGGTGACAGTCAGTGTTGCAGTAAATCACTCTGCAACTATACATTAAAGTTATCATTTTTATACTTCTAGTCAATGAACGTAGCACATTATTCTTTCTCAATTTGTATTCATAAGGTCCAGATTAGATACAAGCTGCTTTAGAGACACCAGCAAACACACTTATTCACAGCTGCACCGACTGATCTTTTAACATTAGGGGGCAGAAAAACTCATAAATAAGAAGAATAAAACGCAAGTTACAAAATGTTTTAACTGACCCAGAAGCTGAGAGTTGCAAAGATGGAGCAGAGCCAGCCTGAATATCACATAAATATGGTGACGAAGGCATTTTAGAATTTGAATAAAAATGTATGAGTGTTTATTCATATCTTATTCCAAAAGGTTTATATACGATCTGTCCAAACAAAAGAAGAAGAAGAAGAAGCAGCAAAAGGTCCAATATTTAAGAAAAAGTTTTGATAATGATAGGGAGTAAGTTCTAAAAATACTGCTTAATGCAGCATTAATGTTGTAGAAGTGCCTCCAGTGTGTTTTATTTCTATTCTTTCCTAAAGCTCACCACCGTCACCAGAGAGAATTACCAGCACTAATTACTTTGAAGACATAACACACAGCGTGTCACATAGCGACAGGAAAACAAAAACAAGACGTCTGGGGCCGTGATTTGGCACCATTAAAAGCAGTGATGCCAAGAGTTGATTTTGTCATCAGTAAATCTAATTTAATTTTAAGCTCAGCGCTGGTCTCAGAGCACCTCCTGAGAACAACACTGGCAGGATGTGGCAGTCACACAGATGGTTGATGGGACTTGTCATCTGCACTTTAGTTTTGGTTTGTGTTGAGCAAGCGGAGCCCAGAGGAGAAGCTGACATACCTCTCTTGAGTGTTTTATGACTGGTAACGCTGATTATTTCCATTTCCAGTTGTTGCTGGGCTGTTATCATTACACTGATCAGACTCGTGACTTTTCATCTCTTTCAAAAATCAATCCCCCGTTAAAAGGAAGCAATATCTAGGGCTAGTTTCCCATATTTAGCCTCCTTAATCATTCATCCTACTGTGTGCAACGAGACAGTGGTCATACCAGTGCAGCTATGCCTGCTGCTGACTAAGTGAAGGAAACTCACCAGGACAGCACGAGTCGGTGTAGAGGTACTCGAGGAAAGACAGGAAAGTGTCTGAGGAGACGCCGTGGATGGGCACCACTCGGCTACGAGCCTCTGCATACTTCCCGCTGAACATGGCGGCCATGACATCACAGCGGGCCACCAACACTGCCCGGTGGGCTGGCAGCACACTCCCTAAATCACACGTGTGAAAAATTAACATGTAAAGTTGAAGTTTCTATGATGCGTTTCGGCAGCCAAAGAGTGTGAAGAGTTTGTGAGTAACATGTTTCATCTTGATGCATCGGCATGAAAAACTTAAATAGCCGCCATGAACACAAGGTGACTACAGTCAGACATTCCTGCTAATATAGCAGAAGTGTATAGTATAAATGTAATTTCGGCTTTTAATGAGTGATCGGTCACAACTGCCCATTTAAATGAACAGGAAATTATTGTACAACCTCTCAATGGCACAGGTCTCATCATCAAGTACCATTAACAAGACAGATTTTCTCCATGACCTCCATAAAGTTTAGCGCACAGCTTAAGGGCACAAGGACAAGAAAAGCTGGCTGCAATTTTTATGAGATAAATATTGATTAGGAGAGGCTTTTTAGCATTATTTCTAAATTTCTCGATTTCATAGAGAAATGCTGAATGCAAAAGAGATTCTGCTGAGCTGAAACACGACCAGAATGAAAGAGAGCCCATTGCTGGGGTTATTTGATCTTATTTTGTCTCCAAATGGATGATCGGGCCAGAGACGGCGATCCTAATTTAATCACAGCAATAAAATATGACCTTCTTCTGCTGTGTTACATGCATTTGTAAATGTGGGTGTGTCTAATAGGATCAACGTGAACTTACCTTGCACCATGAAGATGACATCAGAGTATAGAGGAGAATTGAAGAGGTTGACGAGAGTCTGGGGACCAAGCTGAGCTGCCCTCGCACTCGGTGTGTCCCTGGTGCCCTACACACACACACAAACACACAAACATTGGAGAGGAAGACAGAAGAATCGGCCAGTGAAAGTTGAAATTCCTCTGCTGCACATCAGGTACTCGTTACCAGCACAATTGCCATTCTGTGCATCTATCCCACATCCCCTGTGGAATACTAATGGCGTCTCTGCCAGTCTTGCTTAGCAGTACCCAAACATGCTCGAACTGCAACGCCAAGAATGTCATGAGTGGAACTGGCTAACACAGAACACAGTGAGAAGCAGACGGCGGTCCAAACTGTCTGTTATCAACACGTTCATGTATTCTGTACTGCACAGCGGGTGAAACTGGTGGAATAAGAAAATCTGTCAATGCGTGTGTGTGTGTGTGTTTGTGCTTTTTGCAAAGTGTATGTGCACACATGGATTTCAGTCCACAGTAGAGTGCCTTCAAAGCATCCCATTTCCACTATGTGACCTTTCTCAGTCAACTGAAGCGCAAAGAACTCCATAATTTCACGGTGAGAGAGTGAGACAGAGAGCAAGATCAACACACACAGTTCAAGTTGGAGGCAGAAACAAAATCAAGAGGCTTAAAATTTCATAAATCAATCAAAGCTCATGGAAAACTTATGGGAAATTAATTTCTACAGGTCTCACAGAGTCAGATTACCCGGAGGTGCTGGAGTTGATGCGATCAAATCATGACAAGACATTAGGCTATCTCATTGCGTTAAAGTGGCCCCGCCGTCTCGGTGTGTCAGCTCATCCCAGCACCGCCTCAGGTAGAAGACCTAGTTCTAGCCAGATGGGTTGGTAGACTATGCGTGGTGCCAAAGGCTTGTCAGACACAGCCATGTCACATCTCTTTATCCCACTCTAAATATTAAAGCCTGCTGTTTTGTAACATAGAGCCATGTGATGCTCTCTGAGCAGCTGCAATTACACATTACAGGCGTGACGCTGCAGTTTCTAAAATAATTTTAGTGTGCATGTGTTCTTCTGTTGTGCTTTTTGCTCCTTGGAGGGTATCTCTTGTTTACTTTCTGCTAATTCCCACAGTATCCGAGAGGTGATTACAGGCAGTAATTATGTAAATATTCTAATTATAGCAACATTATTACTGTGCTGTTTCCAAACAAGTCGCACTAATTAAGGCACTCTTAGTCCGCAAATGCAAAACACATGTTTATACATTCAAAGAGCAGATTTAACACATTAAAGTTATTTAACCTGTTTATTAAGGACAGACGAGTATCGGTGTCATACACACAGTCGAGCCTTAAACAAGATTTTTTTTATGGTGAAATTTGTCCTCACCCTTTCTCTGCCGATGAGGGATCGTATTCGATCTATAAGCTGAGCCACAGCGAGAGAATTCTTCAGCTTCTCATCCAGGGCCTCCTGGAGGTGCTCCCACTCCCACGCTCCTACAAAACATCCACAAACAACCCAATTCTATGGATCCACAATAGTTTACAGAAACACACAGGCAAACACTTTTCTAGCTGGCACTGTGCTCTGACCACCCACATACCTTACACCAAACACTTGAGGCCTGTTTTTGTCAAAGTTGGCTTGTTCTAAATTTTTTCTGTTTATGTAATCTGGTGTCATTATGGGTGGGGAGCCCAGTCCAGATTCCACCCAGCAAACTCAGAAACAGTGAATAAAAAAGGCATTTGTAGAACAAATCGTAAATCTGCCTTCAAACTACCTGGTTAGTAATTTATATTTTACTTTCATTAACGTCAGTGTACCTGGTACAGGAAGAGCTGGGCCTAGAGTCCATACAAGTCCAAAATGCCCTCAACTCACTTGGACTTCTGGGTAACAAATTTGATTTGGGTATTTAAAGGTCACTGTGATCTCACAAAACACATTTTAGGCCATAATTCAACAATTAATGAAGGTCAATTAATATGGCAAAGTTTTACACAAATGATTAATAGGAGAAAATTATGAAGTGATGACATTTCATATCAAAAGATTAACACTGCAACACTTTTCTGACCTTTATTCAAGACATAAGTCTGGTACTGAAGGAGTGAATGTGACCATCTTTTACATTTTACTTTACATTTAGTCACATATTAAATTAGTGATCTGCCATCTTCTGTTTTCACAGGCTACAAATTTGTTGAAGCATCCACATTTAACATTTTGTAGGGTCTTTGCAGCAAGTAAAGAACCTACAGTGTTCAGAACTGTATTGTATAGCAATCGACCTTATTGAACAAATAAAAATACACCCAGCCACCCGTGGACCAAATAGCCTTTAACAACAGGTTTAATAGCCCATACTACCAGCATACTACCCACAGACTACCCTGAGAAACAATCCAATCCAATAATACAAGTCCATGTACACTGGCTGGGCAAACTCCCACAGACCTTCAATTATCATTGAGAGGGTGAAGAGCTGATACAGTGACCAATGAGCAAAACCTCATTGTTTCTCCTGGATCTGAGATTCAACTTATCAGTGGATTCTCCTCTCCATTACTCCAGCACAGACTTCCTGAGAGGCCCAGGAGTGTGATCCCAAAATTTGGAGCATACTCTCCAGTTCCTTTTGTTAAAAAGGTGAGCCACCACTCCAGTCTGTTAATCAGACCTCAACACAATGCTGCAGCATATCAGAGTCTTGAGGACCACTAAAAGTCTTCTCTGAACATGCTATATAAGTCTGGTGAGACATAAATGTAAAAGCACACAACTGAAAGTTGTACCCTCTGTTTATATCACTCTGTCTTCCTGTATAGAAATATTGGCATAGTCCATACAAATCAGAAAAGGTACTAGACATGCTAAAAAAAAAAATCAAAGCATTTTCAGATGTGGCTGGTATAAACAGCCTCAATGACTACAGACCTATAGCCCTCACGTCTGAGACACTATCTGTGTTTTAAACAGATAGTGTCTCAGCACATCAGAGACTGTCTACCCCCCCCCCCCTCCCTCGACCTCCACCAGTTTGTTTACAGAGCAAATCGGTCCACAGAGGATGCCATCACCATCACACTCCACAGAGCGTTTAGCCATTTGAAGAACAGGAAGCGCTAAGTGAGGATGCTCCTCGTGAACCATTCGACACCATAATCCCAGACATCCTCACCCCCAAACTGGACCTTCAGATTCCCCCTGCCACCTGGATCAAAGATTTCCTCACCTACCAGCCTCAATCAGGCCTCACCAATCCCCACCTCTCCTCTCCCTACTGTACGCCCTGTACATCAACCCACCCAACAAATGTTGTAGTCAAGTATGCACGGTGACACATACGGTGGTAGAGAATAACCTGAAGCTGAATGTCCTTAAAACAAAAAAACTCATAATGGACTTCAGGAAGCACAGACAGGTCCACTCCCCTGTCATTATAAATGGAGAAGAGGTGGAATCTGTTTCTGCCTTCAGGTTTCTGGGCACCCACATATCCGCTGATCTCACCTGGATCCACAACACAAACGCCCCAGTAAAGAAGACCCAACAGTGGCTGCTGGCCTTCTCCCGCTCCTCAGTGGAGAGCATCCTCTCCTACTGCTTGGGCGTTTGTTACGCAGAGGCCACAACTGAGAACAGGAAGGCTGCACAGAGGGTAATTAACACCTCCCCAAAAAATCCTCTGCTGCTTTCTACCACCTCTAGAGGCCATCGCCAGATCCTCCAGTCTCAGGAAAACCCGGCCCATCACAGGTGACCCCATGCACCCACAACCTGTTTGACCCGCTGCCCTCTGGTCGGTGCCTCAGGTCAATCGGGTCCCACACCTCCGGACTCACAAACAGCTCCTTCCGCTGTAAACAAACACTATTCCCCCGCCCCTGCCCACCCACTTCACCAGTGTGAGCCATTGTCTGTGTAACCCTCATCACACTGGCCACTCATATACAGACTCTATACTCAGACCAAGTCTTTTTGCACTGCTTTAAAGCACTTTGCTCTCCAATGTGCGTCTTTCTATTGTTTTGTATATATTCTTCTTGAGTTTATACATTTCTCCCATTTGTTATTTATTTCTGTAGTCTCATTATTTATATTTTATTTCTGCACATTTGGTGTGGAGCACTTATAATTCTGTTGTACATGTACAATGACAATAAGTGGCTATTCTATTCTATTCTATTCTATTCTAATATTACAGTTAAATCACAAGTGACAGAAGTAAAAGAGGAGCACAGCGATGCAGTAGGTAGAACTGTCGCCTAATCACAAGAAGTTTTCTGATAAAAACCTGCTGGTGAGCTCAGGCCTTTCTAGGTATGATTGTGAGACTGTGTGGTTGTCCGTGTCTGTCGAGGCTATACCCTACCTCTCGCCAAAAGTCATTTGGCATAGGCTCAAGCCCCCATAATTCTGAGCTGGATAATTTGATACAAAAATGGATGGATATATAAGATACTAGTTTAATTTGTGAACCTGTTCTTCACATGCTGTACTGCACAATGTTCCTTTCAGGTAAATGCCAACATGAGCATGCTAACGTGCTTACAAAGTCTTGTATGCTGATGTTTAGAAGGTATCATTTACTACAGTGGCTTGCAAAAGTATTCGGCCGTCTTGAACTTTTCCACATTTTGTCACATTACAGCCACAAACATGAATCAATTTT